AGCTAAGTAACTTGTGTGAGTTACTACAAGGCCTTGAGCAATGAACAAGGATTATAAAATGTTTACTTATAACTGCATGCTGACTTTGCAAAACAATATCACAGCAAAAGGCTTCTCTGAATAATCTGAACACAGAGAGATTCCCGAATGACTTTCTTGAGAACTTCTGTTTTGAATCTACTGAAATAAAAGTATTTCCCCCAGTGTTCTAAAATGTACCTCCTCTGCACACTATCAGATGGTAGATAACACTGCTAACATTGGATGGGTTTGATGGCATCAGTAATAATGGTCTTGATATATCGTGTTGTCAGAAAAGTCATGACACATTTTTGCATAGAAAAACATGCATGGCTTTTCCGACAACCCAATAGTTGTTGCATTATATAACTTTCTATAGTCACATTAGTGACTGTAACAGAGGCCAAATGTCCCTTCTGGGAAGTTTCTGTCCCCAAATTTAGGGCAATTATTAAATTACTCAGTGGAGTAAAGATCCAAAAGAGCTTGGGTCTCCACTTCCATTGATACAAACTGCTCCAAGGCTGAAGTTGCTGTGAACTCTAAGAAACCATCTGTCTTTTCACAAAGGGTAAAAATCCCAGGTATTTCTTTTTCCAGTTTCCCACAAGTTTTAAGAATTGTTTGTAGATAAAATTAAGCATTTCAGAGAACTGTTAGAACCATAATTAATTTTAATAGTAGGCCATAGCATTTACCTTTGGGAAAAGGTGGTCATAAGACTGGGCTTTAACTCTCTCATTTCAACTGACATTTGATACATATGGTTTTCCATTTGACCACAGTTAATGGGAGCAGTGGTGAGGTTCAGAAGCGGCAATCTTAGCTAATGGTTTCTTACTGTGTGTCTAATACTGTTCTAAAGACTTAAAATGGATTAGACTACTTGAGTCCTCAGTAACAAATTACCAGTGATGTGATCTTGGGCAAGTTACTTAGCCTTTCTAAGCCTCAATTCCACATTCAGAGAAAGAAACTGGGTCTCAGAAGGTTAAACAACTTGCTGGAGTCCAGCTAGTGAAAGGCAGACCTGGGACTTGGTCCACCTCTTCACCACCACCCGTGGCTGCCTTTCGATATCCCCAAGGATGATTAACTAGGGACAGGTAGAACTGGAAGCTCCCAAAGGTACCTGTAGCTCTCACATTCACATTAACTTGCTCCATGAGATTCTCTAATAACTGAAACGCACAAATGATAATGAATAAGAAATGCATGAATTCCTCGCCGCAATACTACCCTAATCTTTGAGACTTAAAATTTCAACCTAGGTGGCCTATACACTTCTTTGAAAAGCAATCCAAAGCTTGTAACAACTTTCATAGTGACTTCTAAAAGAAGGTTCTGTGGTTGTAATGATTTCGAAAACACTGCTGTCTTTACTGCAAATGTGTAACTTAAAAAACAGAATGACAAATTTCTAATTAAATAAACACTATATACCAAATCTCCTTTATGACTAAAGAAATCATGTACAAGTCGATTGAAGATGGAAAGTCATATTCTGAAGATAGTTTCAGAAAGTCAAGCAAATATAAATATATTCAGTCCTTAAAGAATGATTAGAAAAGAATTTTAGAGGATAATTTGACACCTCTGAAATTCCGCACTCTGACTCCAGCCCACCTAACTCGTGCCTTGTACAAGGAGTGAGAGAGGCAGAGCATGTCAACTTCAGCAAGACTTACGTTTATGGAAATCCATGGATTTTTGGCCCAGCTGGACCTAACTTGAATCCCACCTCTGCAGTTTTCTAGCACTGGGGTCTTGCAGGTTATTTAAACTCACAATGCCTCAGTTTCTGCTTCTGCTAAAAGGAGTAACCACCTATGTGTAAGGTTACCATGAGGGGTGCAGCAAACATGTATGCTGTGCTTCTGCACATGGTAGGTCCCCGATAAATTGTAACCAATAATAACCACCACCACCATGGCATTGATAAAATCACTGACAGCAGAGTGTTAAGTGTGATGGTTAAGGGCACACGCCTGGAGTCAGAGCTCTTGGTTTTTCTTTCCTCATAGAATTCACATCATATTTAACAAAGATTGTATTCCGCTGATCTCTTTTACCCATGACACATGCTCATGCTTTACTTTGACATCTTAGCTCTTCCTGTGAACAAGTTACTTAACTTCTTTCTGCACCAGTTACCACAGCCGTGAAATGAGAATAAACACAGTTATCTACTGAAGATGCTTGTGGTGAGGATGAATTCATCCATGTAAAACTTAGAACTATGTCTGACACTGACACATTATCAGAACTCAATAAATGCAGCTGTTGACACTGCTGGTTTTAGTCACTGTGTGAACGACATTATAAATCCAGGCCCTGGATATAAACCGCCCACCCATAATGCTGCTTAACAAGTTGAAAGTAAGAGAGTATGAGAACTCCTGAGGAGGACAAGACATTTAAGAATAATGACTGGGAGAACAAAAAATGAGAAGTTATCTCAAGGGCGAAATCAAAATTAAGCTGCAGATTACAAGGAGGTGTGACCAGCTAGCTGGAAATCCAAGGTCTCTAAAGTATTTCACTGTAAAAGGAGTTCGTGAATATCTCTGATTTTCAAACTTAAAGCTGAACTTTTTTATGGTGAAAAAGAATGAGGCAAGGGGAACACATGCTGACTTCTTCCTTTCCTCGAAATATGTTTCCCCCTGTGCGTTTTTCTCATACTTTTTGCAAGGGACAGAAAAGCGGCACTGATTCCATTGTAAGACTTCCCAACAGATTACTTAAAAAATGTAATTTAAAAAAAAAATGTTTCTGTGCCCACCAGCCATCCAAAAAACAGCTACCCAACCAGAGCATTCCAATTTGCAAAGATAACATGTAATCCTGCTATTCTGGGTGTGGCTCTATGGAAAGGGATGGAAGGGCTGGGATTCAAAGTGCTGCCTCCAGCATTCATGTTGACATCCGATCCAGGGAGAAGAACGGGGCACCCCTAATAGCTGTCTGCACTCTGAGCCCTGTTAACACCGTCTTCCTTGCACAGGGCATGATAAGGGTCCAGCAGCTCAGCTGGGTCACCAGGGAAGGCAACAGGAATGAATTTGAAAGAAAGCATTTCATGGGATGGAGTGAGGAGCAAGAGGCATGTTTTTCAACCATCTTGAGTGGTTGCAGCTCACCCCTCGAAAACAGTAACTTCAGCAGCCACTTCATTATATTTCTACTGTAAATGATACAGGCCCGAGCCAAGTCAGCACCAAAACTCCCTTCAGAATTCAGTCGGGGTTAGGTCATCTGCACTCCATCGACAACCGCTGGACTGCAAGCTCCTAATGAGGCATCTCAGCAACAGTATGTGTCCTGCCACTAATGAGGCTCTTTTTCCATGAATAACGAACAAGCACATCATCTCTGTTGCCAGGTACACAACATAAACAAAGCTCAACACAGGGCCTTGGTATGGCGAGTTTGTCCATTTGCAACAAAGGAATTTTTCCAAGTGTGAGCCAAGTTTTAGTGGAGGGTGGGACAGGCTGTTGTAACAAATAATGCAAACATATGTTATCAGAATCTAATAAATCAGCTTTTGGTGGTTGTGGAACAGAGGCCGTGCAATGGGAGAGACAGGAGAAAACACAAAGCTCTAAATGAGTTCATTTCTTTATTTTACAATCAGTCTTATAACGCGAGGCTGTTGACTTCTGTAATGAGCTGAGATCTTCATGAAAGGAGCCTTATGAGACTTGTAATCCCAAAGGTTCTACTGGTTTAGTCTTTCTTTTTCTTTTTTTTTTGGTTTTAAGCTTTCTACTTTATTGATGTGTGCTTGTGTGAGAGAGAGAGAGAATGGGAGAGAAGAAAGAAGGGAGAGAGGCACCCTTGACAGGGTCTCATCGTGCTGTAATCCCCTGCCTCCAGCGCTCCAGCTCCTCAGGATCTGGGCAACACACATGCTGGTGTGTTTCAGGTTGACCAGGCCATGGATCTGAACTGTAGTCGGCTCTGCAGCCTCAGGTGCTTCAGTTCAGTTCTCCACCAACTGCGCCACTAAACATGGGCTTTACTCTTTATTTCTTAAGCCTTGATATATCAGGCTGAGCACAGGTCAACACTAGGGATGAGAACAGTGGAAGCTTGTCATGGCATTAGTGGCCTCATGGCAGCATTTGGAAAAGTGCACTGCCACTTGAACCCATGGGCATGCAGTTGGGTTCCTTTGGCACTGAAAGATCCTCAATGTATGAGCATTTTTCCTGCAAGGAAGCCTCATAACTTGGACTCATGAGATTAGCCACTGTTCACTGAATAGTGAGATTCCAGCACATAAACAGAGACTAAAAGTGAGCTGACGTGAAGACCAAACAGTCTTTATTCTGTTTACTTTAAAGTGCTCCACAAATACATTTCTCTCTTTCTAAAATCAGTTCCATAAGAGGCAGCATGTATCTCGTTACATGGGGTGTTCACATCTCCCCAGGAAAAGGGAGGCCATCACTGGCAGAAGGCTGTTAGTTTCCATCAGTTTAGCAATAGTCTCCCCAGGAAAAGGGAGGCCACCACTGACTGAAGGCTGTTAGTTTCCATCAGTTTAGCAATAATTTGAAGAGAACAAAACAGAAATAAAAACAATCTTGCAAAGCCTCAGTTTCCCCACCCTTAGGAGATAACAACCCCAACCCATTTCAGAGACTTCTCATGAAGAATTGTGTCCAAAATAACACCCAAATGGTATAACTGGCTCTTTATATGTGGTAAATTCTTGCGCAGGAGAAAAAGCAATAGCATCAATAGGGAGGGAAGGACAGGAATGGGGAGTGCAGGCCATACAACATTTCTTCCCCTGCTAAGCCATGAAATCCTGAGCGTCTACAAAACAACGTAAAACTGTGGGTGAAAGGTCAGTCTGAAGACAGTTATGAAAGCTGTGCTAAGTAACATGATCCTTCCAATATAACCATTGGAACACATCAAAGAGAGAGAAATACTCAACTATGTAAAAACACCCAAGGACTTACCATCGTACTTTGCTAAGACTGCCTGAACGTCGGCATAGGCCTGCAGTTCCAGAAGGGCTTCTAAAAGGTTTTCATGGATGTTGAACATGCTCAGGAGGGGGAACTCTTTCATCAACTAGGAAAGAAGAAACCAAAGACTAGTTAATATATATTTTTATAACATATCTGTTCTATATATTTAAAGTATACAACATGTTCAATATACGTAGTTATTACTATGGCCAAGCATTTTAAGAAATAAATATTTCTTAGTTTCTGAAGTATAAAGAATATTGAATTAGAAATATATCTGTATTAGGTAATTTATTCATTTCTTTATTCATTCACTCATTTCTTTCTTTTATAAGATAGCAAGGTATTCCCAACAAGGTCTTCATGCTGAGATCCACCCCGGCCTCAGCCAGCCCAGATCATCAGTGCACATGTGCATGTCATATGTGTATGGAAGGCCTTAGAGTGGGCACTGGAACATTCCCACGTGGGTCTGGCACTGCAGAAGAACACTGCATTACTGTGGTTCCACCTAGTGGCCCACAATTCCTTCTAGCAGCCCATCATTCTTTCTTTCTTTTTTAAAAATTATTTTATTTATTTTATTTTTATTTTAAATCTGCTATAGGGCACTGCACTCACCAGAGAGAGGGAAAAAGAGAGAGGGAAAGTGAGAAAGCAAGCCACCAGATATAGGACTTGAACCACCATGGTCAACCATGCAGGAGTCTTGTGACTTAACTACCAGGCCACCTGCTGGCCTTCAGGCCCACAATTGTTAAAAGCATAATTTATACTACATTATAAGGGATTACACTAATTATTATGTTGCAAAGCATTAAAATGTTTTTATTTTTCTGATAAGGTGAGAGAAAATCTAAAAGAGAGGTTTTCATAAAAACTGAAGAAGATTCCCGATAATGTGATGCAAGGTCATAGAGCAACTAGGTCAGTGAAGGTTGAAAATGATGTCACAGGTGTTAACAGTCAGATCACTGGTCACCTCGTCAAGAGCAGTTTGGATGGATGCCAGAGAGCAGTTGGGTAAAGAAGGGATTGAAACTGCTCTTCTGAGCAGCCTGGTGTCAATTAGGGAGAAAAAGTAGGCAAGGAGTACAGGGTGATGTGGGTTGAGAGAAAATGGGTAGGTTGTGATGGGGCTGGTATTAAAGAGAGAAATCCATGAGTTCCTGCTGGTGGCCTTAATAAATTAGGACTCCAGATCATCTTCTGAGACAGGAAATGGGGGATAGGGAGGGAGTTCTAAGACAAAAGTGAAGGCGTAGAACAGCCACAAAGGGGAGACTGCTTAGGGAAGCAAACAATCATTGCTAAGGCCATCTCCAGGGCCTAACAGATTGGGGACTACAAATTTGGACAGACTCCAACTGCCATGGCTGTCGAGTTTTAGCTAGTAGGGTTCAGTAGCCCAGATTTAGTGCGAGATACCAAATGATCTACAATGCATCAAATAACTTATGGATTTTAGAGTCAATAAGGAGGAAGAAAAGTCCAAAGAAAGTTAAAATAAATATTACTGAACTTCACTGGAAAGCAAAGAAAAAGAAGAAAGAAGAAAAATTGACTAAAATCAGATCACAGAGAAAGGTAAAATCTCATCCTAAAATATTCTAAGTTCCTGGGCCAGCAGGTGGCACGGAGGTTAAGGTGCTGGATCCCATAATGGCTGACTCTGTGGTTTGAGTCTCAGATCCAGTGGGATGAAAATCAAGCCAGCTGTGTGTGTGTCTGTGTGTGTGTGTGTGTGCCCCCAAGATCCCAAGAGGAGAATGGAGGAGAAGGAATTGCAATGGCCCTGCCCACTGGGGAGTGATTGCTCACTTTTCCTCTCTGTCTCTCTGTCCCTCTCTGGTGAGCACACATGCTCTATAGCAAAACTAAAAAAGAAAAATAAAAAAGAAAGATTCTAAGTTCTTATAAAGCAAAATCAAGTATATATTCTCTTCTATTTAAATCCCCCACATGGATAACTGTTTTCTATTAGAACATCATAAGCTCTCTGTCAACTTCTTTAAAGCAATTATGCTGACAGAAATAATATTCGAAAACAGGCCAACTCACTGCTAAGCAAGAAACCAGTGGACACATTGCACTGACCAGCCATTTCTTCTTTCACGAGAAACATTTACCATAGTTTTGTTTTTTAAAGCCAAGAACCATTTAGCATATTTTTAAAAATAAATAATTTTCAGCATCCCCAAAGAGCATCATATTACCAACAAAAAACACCTATCAAAATGACTATGTGTTCAATACATGGACAGTCTGAAGCCCCCTAGGGAGGCATGCAGAGTTTTCATTGTTAGTAAAGGAAATGAATAAGAATATACCACACATTTTTGATGTTTTATAAACAATAGAAGTATTTCTTGTTCTGGTTCATTTTGATTCTGGTTGACATTACCCTTTTATTTTTTTTTAATTCTCTTTCTAATTAAAGCTTGTTAGAATTCAAGCTCTCTGTCATTCAGCATTTGGCAACACAATAAAGACATTCTTTAAACTGCAACATTTAAACATTTATTGTTTTGACCAGTTCTTCAGGTAACAATCAGACTTCAACGATGTATGTCATATTCTGTAGTTTTAAAACTGTAATGCCAAATATTAGTCGTGAAGCTTACAAACTGTGTCTTATGGAAACACAGTGAGACCGCACACATGAACATGGAGGTCTCGGCTGGTTGAACAAAGCTTGAAGTGAGATGCTAGGAGCCTGTGTAGCAGCTCTTTCATTGGAAGCCTGGACAGAGTATATTGTGTCAAAAACAAAAACAACCAAACAAAAAAAGCAAAAAGCAAACAAGTAATAAAAGGGTTTTAAACATAGTGAAGGTCAAGTGATGGCCAAGTCATATGGCAGTTCAGAAATCTAACTTTCCTTATTTAACCTAAACACGAAGAAAGTGTGAATCCTTTGCTGCCCCTATAGCCTTCTCTTGCCCTGCACAATACGCTATTTTGGAAAAAAAAAAAAAAAAGACACTCTCTTGGCTCTACTCTCTCCTTGCTGCATTGCTACAATCTGGCTCGACTCCCACCATGTGAATCTTGTCCCACTTGCGGGTGATGTAAATTGCTTTTGTGGATATCCTCCAGCCCTTTTCCTGCTTGACCGCTGCATCATCTGACAGTTTGATGACTTTTCCTTCAAGCTCTTGTCTCACTTGGCTTCCTCAGCCCCGTTCTCTTCAGGTCTTCTTCATGTTACCTCCCACTTCCTTCTCTAGTTTCCTCCTCGTCTGCTCCTTACAAGTGGTCTCCCAGGTTAGGTCGCAATCCTCTTATCATAAACACTGACGGATCTCTAGGTTCTTGTCCAGGGTCTCAGCACCACCACCTTTGTGGGAATGGCTCCCCCATCCTGACATCCACTTTGACCTCTCTCCTAGGTTATGTGATCAATTTCAAAACTACCTTCCTAGGGACCAGCAGTTGGCATAATAGCTATGTCGCTGGACTCCCATGTAGTCAATCCAGCGGCTTAAACTCATGCCGGGTGCATATGCACGCGTGCCTAAGATCCTGAGAGGAGAATGGAGGAGAAGGGATTGTGGCATGGCCATCCCTCCTGGGGCGGGGG